TGTTGGAATCAGCCAGCTTCTGAGCAGTATAGTACTCTGCGTCAGCTTTTGCTTTCTCTCTTGCTAGGAATGCAGCATCTAATACAGCAACAGATGACGGACAGGAGAAGGAGTGTTAGTAAGTGGACAGCCACATCACATGGAGCACTCGGGCTCCTGCCCCACGGGGGCAAGCTGACCCAGCTGCGTCCGTGGAACAGCCTGGCTGGCCACATACCAGCATTGCTGGCTTCTTGGACAGGCACCTGCAAAGGGGAGGAATCGCCAAAGCGCGTATTCTTGTGCAGGTGCACCTTTTATTGGGAGGATGATAATGCCTATGAGCTCAGTCACTGGGGAGTCCCTGAGCCAGAAGGTGACCCCAGGGGCATGCTAGCATTGTTACCTTCAATCTCAGAAATTCGCTTCTCTGTTTCCTTCTCCATAATCTTCTGCTGATAGTGAATCCTGGCCACCTGAGCAGCCTTCTCTGCCTCTGCAATCACAATGGGCTTGGCTCAGATATTCGCTTCTCAAGCCTTGAGCATCCATGTCCTGACTGACGACCCTGGTCACAGAGACACTGCCACACTGCTGACTCGCCCTCTGTTCCCTCCCTCCCTCCCTCCTACAGGCTTGTATAGCTCAGTGGCAGTTTGTACTCCAAGCAATACAGCTATAGGAGGAAAACACAGTGCTCAAGTTTCTAGAGTTGAAGTGGCTCAAATCCCTTTTACAACTGTGATTCCCCTTGCCCAGCCACATTTACCTTACAGAGCCCAACCAGTTTTGCCAGCAGAGCTGTTAGCTCTCGACCTGCAGCAGGAGCCCAGGCCTCTGTGGTCTTACACAGGGCTAAAAGCAGACAACTTTCAGTACTCAGGATTTACAATCAGGGCTTCAAACAGATGCTGGAACGACTCTAGCAAGCACCTATGGCGCTTTGGAAGGAGAAAGTATTTGCAAAGGCGGCCTCGTAGATAAAACCACATGGGCTAGGCACATCATGCTGAAATGCTGAGTTGAGCACAACTTGTGATGCCCAGTGAGCAGTGCGGTTTGTAAGGCTTTCACAGGGAGATATGTGCCTCTTGTGCCAGAGGGTTAGAAGCAGCAGGTCTCAGCAGGGAGTTGAGCGCTGCTGCTGCAAGATGGAGAAGTGCTCGCTGCTCTGCTGCTATGAGGAGGAAGTGGGTTGAGGGAAGGTAGATGCAGCAGCACCAACACTCATTTTCTAGATGTTTCTCACCGACTGCTGGTGCAGCCTGGCTGTGCTTCTTTCAGGGAGCTGTCAGCAATGCACAACAATGTCCCATCCTAGCTTACTGGGGGATAGAGGAATGGAAATTCGTTCAGGCCAGAGTCTGTTGGTACTCCTGATTGGTGACATACCTATGAGCGCTTTCTTCCGGTCTGTCTCCGCCTCCTTCTCTACTACCTTCTGCTTCTGGGCTGCTATGAGCAGCTTGGTCTTCTCCGCCTCCCTGCAGAGCAAGAAACAGTATCATAGGGGAATGGAGCCGGGAAGCAGCTCTGTAAACAAGAGCATGAGAGGCCTGGGAACAACAAGTTGACCAGAAGTCAGCAGTGCACCCTTGCAACAGTGAAGGCTAGCTATGTCCTCAGCTGTATAAGCACATACATAGCCAGCAGGTCAAAGAATAGGATTACTCCGCTCAATTTGACACCGGTAAGGCCACATCTGGATACTAGGTCCAGTTTGAGGCCCTCAGGACAAGGGAGGCATCAACAAACTGGAATGAATCGAGGGAACACCACAGAGATGGTGGGGCTGGAGGCCAGGGTGTAGGAGGAGAGAGGCTGCAGGAGCTGGGCTTGTCCAACTGGGAAACAGGAAGGTGAAGGGGGATCCAGCTGCAGGGACTGCAGATCTAAAGGTGCTATAGAGATGACGGGGCCAGACTCCGCTCAGAGAGGCACCAGCTAAAGCATGGGAGGCCATCACATGAGCTTCAACATGAGAAATCCTGCCCGGACCTCAGGAAACAGTCCTTCCCCATGCAAGGGATGCTGCCCTGGGACAGGTCCCCAAGCAGTGGGGGATCTCCATCTTTGGGATTTGCTCAGACACCTGGACATTGCCCTAAGCAACCTGCTGTACCTGTGAAGCTGGCCCTGCTTTGGGCAGGGGCTTGGACAGGAGATCTCCAGGGGTCCCTATCAAACTAACATCTTTCTGTCGTTCTGAGAGTTTGCTGGAGGGGAGCTTGTGCACAAGACACCAGGACCCCAGAGCCCCAGTTCAGTTACTGAATCTACAGATTCTCCACAGCACATCCTCCTCCTCTACATTTAAAGGAGTAGGAACTTATTAGCTTTGCCATAGACTCTGCAAATGCTAAAAACTATCCTTCTGAAGGGCTAAAATGCTTCCAAGGTGAGGAGAGCTATGAAAATGGAGAAAGACACTGCATGAGTACACCTAACCCAGCATATACACAACTGGAATCTCCCGTCCATCTTCTGAATTCAAGCTAAGGGTTTTATGAAAGCACTATGCCTGTGCTGGGCCTCCAAAACTAATTAATACAATTTCATGTACAGCTACTCACATTAGCTCAAAATTTCTTCGGATGGCTTCTGGGATTTTGGGTTTTGTAACACGCACAGCCTATAAAAAAAAAAAGATGAGTGCATTTTAGATGAAACATTTTGATGAGATCTGCATAGCTACAAAACATCTTTGCAAAACCAGCTCTAGTCGCCAGTAAAGACTGTGGACGTCTCCATGTTGATCCAAGACCATGCATAATGGTTCCCAATCCTCTTGTACGGCACAACTGAGGACAGCACCTCTCATGCAGGAGCTTTGCATTTAAATGTCCTGTCTCTGCATCCTTTATAATTCCTAAGTGATCAAATAACGTCTGTGGAAAAGACCCCGAAAAGAGTCCGCCACCTTTCTTAGAAGAAGCTTAGTGCTCCATCCCAAAGATGGAAACGTTCTCCAGAGATCACAAGACAACAGTTCCCAAGGTAGTGCTCAAGAAAGGGGCTAAAGGGGCTCCCAGACCCAACGAAATTAAATTGCAAGACTGAGACTTGCAAACAAAAGGCAGGGCTACAAGTTCAGGAACAGGTTATTCAGGAGAAAAGCTTGCAAAGGTACCATGTAATGAGATATACTGGTGAAGACGGGAGAGCAGCAGGGCATCTGTAGTAACTGGGAACAGCTGTCACACATAACTGCTGATTGATAAGAGTGATTTGCATGGCAATGTTGACACTGTGCTTCAGGCTGGAGGCAGAGATGGCTGCCAAAGTGCTCTGCAGAGGACCTTCTCTGAAATCCAAGGCAAAGACCTCTCAAGGCAGGAGCGGGAGCTGCTGCTGCTGCCCAGCCCATGCGTGTCACTTGGTTCGCTACTGAGCTCTGAGAGCTGCAGATTAAAACAGTCCATGGCTGTAGGATCACTTCACAACTCTTCTGCTCAATCTCTATCGCAAATCTAGCACTGAATCTGCTGCTGCTTCTCTCTGGACTCAGCAAACCTGCAAAGAACTATGTGGCTTCCACACACAGAGGGACATGGGCATTTCCCCTGTAAGTCTTTGTACATGGTGAGAAAAGGGAATTGTTTCCGTGTGAGGGGCATCCTGACCCTTGCAATTTCACCCAGCCCAGAAAAAAGGAGCTGGTTGGACATCAAAAATGGGATATTTGTGAACAAATACTGCTTCTCTGAGCAAATAAAAAAGGTAGATTTATGGGACATTAGGTCAGAGTAACTTTCAGTGAAAGGACTTTTCTAAACCCCTATCAGAAGCAAAGCCTCTCCAAGTCCTGGGAAAGATACTGTCTGCAGAAAGCTCTCCTCACAGAAACCCCTTGCTCTCCCAGCCATGGCAGGGTGTACAGGAGAATATTCTTTCTGCCTCCACAATGCCTACTGCTCCAAAACAAAACAAAGATCACTTTCCAGAAATGTTTAGTTCAAATACACACAACTCTGTAATCAGGAAGGTATCCAGAGGTCTGAAAGTCTTCACTAGCTTACTCTTTTCCAAGCCAAAGACTCACTACTTAAGGTTTATCTACTAGATGGAAACACTGCTGCACAACATCAATATTGGTAATACTCAAACATTAAGGCAGTGGGACAGGCTGGCACTGACTGGTTGAACAACAGCTCTGCAAAAAAGAGCATGGGCGAACAGATGGAAAAGTTAACCTTAAGACAGCATTTTTCACCTGTGGCAATGAAGTCCAGCTCCATTCTAGGCTACGCTGGCAAAAGTACAGCAGGTTGAGGGCAGTGTTTATTCCCCTCTACTTGGCACTGGTGAGGCCACATCTGGATACTGTGTCCAGTTTGGGGCCTCCAGTACAAGACAGAGATCAGCAAACTGGATAGAGTCCAGGGAAAGGCTGCTTCCCCCTAAGATGGTCCTGTTCTCCAGGTAAATTTTTTCTGCAGTCTTCACAGGTAATGAGGACAAGCTGATGAAGCTGCAGTGCCCCAGTTCCTCATCCCTAAATATGGGTGCGGCATTTGCCTATTTCCAGTCCTCAGGAATTTCCCTCAATCACTGATCTTGCAAAGATGATAGAGAGCAACCTCCCAATGACACAGGCCAATAACTTAACTCAGCACCCTTCGATGCATCCTGTTTGGTCCCACAGACTTGTGTATATCCAGTTTGCTTAAGCGGTCCCTAACTCAATCTTCCTTTACTGCAGGTAACGCTTCATTTCTGTGGACTCTGCCACTAAGTTAAGGACCTGGGAAACCTGACAGGAGACCTTGCCAGAAAAAGGCTGAAGGCAAAAAAGGCACTGAACATCTCTGCCTGTTCCATGTCCCTGACCACTTAGTTCCCTGCCCCATGGAGCAGTGTGTCCAGTTTCCTTAGCCTTCCTTTTGCTGCTGATGTACTTTCACGTTGCCCTGCACATCCACCACTAAGTCCAAGTCCACATGAGCTTTGGTGTTCCTAACTCCATCCAAGTTATACACAGCTGCACACGGAGAGTTTAAAGAAAGGTCAGCCCCTCACCAAAGGAGCAGGACGTTTCATGACAAGGGGTACAGCAACATGGAAGAATTACACATTGAGGCACAATTTCATTGGAGACAAACACAGTTCTGTTTTGAAATGGGATGACAGAAACCCCAGGGCAGAATCACACTGTTTCTGAAGTACTTGAGATGAACCACTTTCCTCAGAAGTTACAGGATGTTTTCAAATTGCTGGTCCTGTGAACTCAGCCTGGGCTGAAATGGGCAGGATGTCCTCCAAATTCTGACCAACAGCTAAGATTGGGCACGCCAGACTGAGATGGGACAGGTTATGCTGAAGATCAGATTTAGCTCTGTAGTTAACACTTCCCAACAAAGACCTGAGAGCTTTGCTTACGCTCTTTTTGATCAGAGGGTATGGAAAGGCATCACGTTATGATGGTACTTCTAATTGAAAGTGATCTTCTAAGCTAAAACTAAATGAAACGTATAGTGCAAAGAGCTGGGATCTCTGGAATGGCAGAGACATCTTGCTCTTGTTATAAAACAGTGCCTGCAGTTCATTCTCATCAAAACATAGAAGGGTAAGGCAGATGAGCCACAAAATGAAATACGGAATGAATGAATATTCACAAAATGAATTATTGTAGCACTTCACATGCTGGCTAAAGGGAGGCTTTCATACCCTTCCCAGGGACAGCCAGCCTAGCAAAACGGGGCACCAAGAATGGGCAAAATAGATTCAGTCTGACTGTTCTCAACAGTGGAAAACTTCAGAGAGTCCTGAAGATTTTTCCCATGTTGGCCCTTGTGAGCCTAAAGTACGTCTTCTCCCAATTGGTTGCCCTAAACTTACAAACCTTTCAAAAAGCCAGCACGTCCCATAGCCCAGCTAAGATTAAATATGATTTTCCAACAAGAAATGCAAGCAGAAAATCACTTGGAATGCAACATCCTTCCCTATCTCTGGTACAGGTACAGAAATTTTCTTTTTCAAATTACCTGTAGCGATTGTACTGGCATGTTGGAGTGCCAGCTCTGTCGGGATGCCAAAGATGGTTTAAAGAAAAACACTTTTCTTACTGTTTGCGAACTAAATCCAGTACCTGCAGATCTGTGGCTTACAAGGTCCTTTTCGCTATCCTACAGGTCTTCCCCTAACATAAAAACAGCATTTAGAAACGGTCACTAGGATATGGACAGTCTTCAACTGACAAAACTCACCTCAAGGCTCAACTATTTCATGTTATGTGAAAAATAGAAGCAAGAAACCTCACTGATCCAGTGAAAGGTGAGTGAGCTTGAGGTGAAAAAGAGAAAACCTTGTTAGGGAATGAACCTACCTGTATAGTGAGACCTGGTGCCATGACATTGAGATCCTTCTGCAGGGCCAGCTTCAGATTCTCATCTATTTGATCTACGTTTGGAGGAAAAGAGACAGGTGCCACATGAATCTGCACACATCATTTCTCCCGCAGTTTGTGCGGCAGCGAGTCAGCTGGCCTTGAAGGGGAGGCATCTCTATGTACGGTGTAAAGTAAAGATGCTCTTTGAGCTCGTTCAGTACATCGTCTCCCCTTGTACATCCTCTGAAAAACATCTCCCATGGAAAACGTCCCCAAGGAGAGAGCCACATCCCATAAACCTACTTTCCGCTGCTCTGCCACTCAAGAATGAAATTGATGCTGTTATGTCTGTGAGGGCGCAGGAATGTACCTGCATCGGTGCACTGGATTCAAGCAGCAGAACATTCAATTTGCTAATTCCTGAATCACTGCTACCCCCTTGTGAAAAAACTAGAGCAGTGCAATGAACTGAGCACATATCCTTTCCAGCTCCTTCTTGCTAACACTCATGAGGAAGCCTTTAAAGTAAAAAAGTTCAATCGGCAATAGCATAGAGACTTACAAATAGACGTGGAGAAAATAAAAGCATCATCATAGAGAATACAATTAGCATGACTGCATGCACAAGAGCACAATGACTGAATTTAAATCCCCACAGGCAGATGCAGAAAGATACAGAAACCTGAATCATTAAGGACACAGCACAGTTACACAGAAAGAGGCATGTGGATTTTTAAGGGGATGGTTTCTAACCACAAATTCAGTACTGGGCCTGTTAGCTTTCAGGAGGTTGCTGTAGCGTATTCCACAGAACAGGGGGACTACACAGCCTTTTTCATGGGCCCATCCAGCTACCTTATGCTTACCGAACAGCTCAATGTATACTTCCTGGAGAGTATGGGCACTGCAGAACTGATTCAGCTCGTGATGAATTTTATTGAAGATCAAGGTCTTATCGTAGTCTGCAGTGTAGTTTCTCACGATATCATATACTGAAGAAATGAAAGGATTATCATAGGTCATCATTGCACACAGTGACTTTCTATTGTCTTGTATCGTCTTTAACCCCACAGCCTCAAAACGACAGCTCAGATCATTAGGAAAGTAGTGCAGCCCTGGGACAGGTCACCAGAGAGGCGGAAGATCTTCATCTTTAGGAGCTTTCAGAAATTGGCTGGACAAAGCCACAGCTGCACTGGCCTGATGTTAGTTACAGCCCTGCTGTGCGTGGGAGGCTGGAGTGAAAACCTGCCGAAGTCCCTTTCACCAACGCTCATGGGATTCTACGACTTCAAAGAGCAGGGTAATTATAGTAAGATATACTGCATGGTCCTGTTTTATGATCTGCATAAATAAATGAAATAGTAAAGCCTGTCTAAAACCTGCATGCATAGGAACAGATACTACTATAAAGAGAAAACAAGTATCACTCCCATCATTACATCAAGAATTCACCCTTCACTGCTTTAGCAACGCTAGGGCTTAGCACTAAGTTCCGCTGCTGAGAAAAGGTACGTAAGTCTTTGGCAGCCAGCGACACAAGAAGGTAACAGAGCTTCTGTATGGGCTTTACCTTTGTAATTTTTCCAGCAGTCAGGCTGGCAAGTGCCTGGGTGCTTTTTCATGTGTATTCAGTTTTGCAGGTCTCCTCCTCCTCAGTTGCAAGAAACAGGATTGCTTGAGTGCTTGTTACAAGCAGCCCAGCATTTCTGAACGGACAGGTTTAAAACCCTTGAGGGGAGAACTAGTCCTACAATTTATTTTCATCTTTGAAAAGCTTGCAGACACAGGTATAGAACTAAGTGCTATGGTACCAGGAATCATAAAGATAACAAGACACAAAAAACAGAAGCAGCCTTGCAAACCACGATTGGACTGCTAAGGAGAAGTGGACAGTTCACAGTGCTGCTTGTTGAAATTGGACGGGAAATACCTGCATACGGTGCCAATTTATTCACCACTTCTATTCGGTCAATGTAGATCATAACACCACCACTATAAATGAAAGAGACACAGTTTAGGGAGTATTCCCGCAACTTTTAACGTCATCCCTTATTTAAAGCAAAGTTGTCTTTTTTCCTCTTCTACTGAATTCTGTTGGAAATCCGCAGATAATTTTTACCCAGAAAAATTCTGATCTCTTGAACATTTTGCAATTAGATGGCAGCAAACCCCAGCTTTGTATGGGCTGGTCCCTTTTTCTGCAAAAATCAAAAGCATGCTCCAGCAAGTCTGGAAAACACTTTCATTTCACTTTACCTCCCACTTAGCCAACAGAAGGAAACCATCTTTAAACAGAAACGTAGCTGCAATGACCAGAAAGGCAGAGCCCAATGCAACAAAGGGAAGACCACAGGACGGGAGGCAACACCTCCTGCACGCCCCACAGCAGCCTCTGTCTGCACAAACTTTAAATATAGTGCAGCTCTTCTAGGCATTGAGGGTGCAGCAAATATATTTTAAGTAGACAAGCCGTGAGCTTAAGTTCATGCATTTACTAACTCCAACAGGGACCTGACAAGGCCACAGACAAAAAGGAGGAAGAAAACACATAAAATATTTTAATTCACATTCCCCATGCAAATGTTATTGTCATATTACAAACTGCTCTGCACCAGTAACACAACCATGCATGTGCGTCCAGATAAGGTGCACTGTCAAAAAAGATCCAGATACATCACGGGAAAAGGCCTCCCAGGTTCCTTCCTTCCTTGAGCAGCTCCATAAGAGGCCTGCAGTCTGCCCCAAAGGATCAGGCCATGCCAGATCGCCAAAGGAAGCGTGAACCAGAGATGGGGCCTGATCCCAGCCTCTGCTGTTACTGACATAACTTCCAGTAGTTTATGCCCACTCCTGGGGATTTCGCTACCTTGCAAGGTAGAAAAGGTAGGGTATAAAGCTCTCAAGGGCACTGCAAATGCTAACAGAGCGCTGGGGCTACTGCCCAGCGCTCACAAGAGCAACAAGCCTCTCCAGAGACGACTCAAGAGTAGAAGAGAAAGCTTAGGTGCTTTGAATCACCCTTTGGGGAACCTCATTCACCATTTACTCCAAATCAGTGACACCAGAAAGGAATAAATCATTCAGTACGCAGATCTCTTGATCCTAATGAAGCCTGAAAACTTGCCCCCCAAATCTGAAACATCTTGGTGCATTCAAGCACACTTCCATTTTCTATCACTACCTAATCCTCTTCCTGGTGTTCAGCCCTACATTTAACTTATACTGTAAAATGCCATCAAATTGAAGTCTTGTTTGTTACACAGGCAAAAAGCACAAACTCTACAGCGAAGAGAAAATAAATTTCCAACTGCTCATAACTCTCTTGAGAACACATTTTAAAGCATAATACTCTTTCAATCTTGCCCTCAGGTCAAAGGCACAGCATAAATGAGGAACTTTTAGCCAAAAAAAACAACCAAAAAAACACCTCACAGTTCAGAGAGCTGTTCTCCAGCAGCAGACCTCATACATTTCCGTAAGTCTCTGTAGTGCTTTAACTCAAAGGTACTCCCCATTACAAACTTGGTTTTTTACTTCACAGATCTTAATCTCTGGCAGTTAAAAGCTAAGCTTGCAGAAAAACCAGCTTAACAGTTTAAGCTAAATACTGTCGCAGTAGGCAGACAGAACACGAAAGCCCTTTCTGTGCTCTTTAAAAACGGTCTCGCAAGCATAGCCTGCGTACTCTCTACAAACCAGCAATGCTTCATGGTAAGCTACAAGCCAAATTAGTTTGCGATGGACTGAATTTGGTCTGTTGCAAGGTAAAAGCCAGCAAAAAAGATATTTGGGACGAAAGAGACATTTATTTCCTGGTGAGATAGCACCCTTGAGCGTTTATCTTTTTCGCTCAAGATTTCTCCCTGAGTCCTGTTCATTCTTACTAGCTTTTAAAGAATAAGATAGGCTTGCAAGTCCTCCACAAGTATCTACATGAGACTGTATGAGCAGTTATAAAGGAACAATACGTGGGTTTTTCCCCATCTCATTTGTGTTGCACCCTATAACTGTCCTGTCCCACTGAAAGAAACGATTGCTCTTGGAAGTGACTTCCAACCCCATGCCTCAGGATCCTCCGAACCCGCTTTCAACCTGTTGATTTGCTCCAGGCACCTTAAGACACGTCCACTGGGTCAGGGAAACCCAGTTACCTTCTTGAGGTACCTTCTACATACCCTAGTGAGGAACCAAAGTAGAGGACGTGGCCTCAAAAGGGCCAACCCCACCAGAATTTTCTGCAGGGCCAACGCTGCAAGCCCTAATATCGGAGTCCTTTTTGCATTCCAATTTTGCGTGAATATTAGAAGCAAAAAGGGAACGTCTGAGATGCAATGCATCTCCTATGAAGGACTCCCATGTCACAACCCCTCAACACCTCACATGCAAGAGAGGATGGCACCTCAAATCAGAGGACTACCTGTTGCCTCTGTATAAACCAGTCAACACAACCCATAATAGCTCTTCCAAGGCTCTCAACTGCCAACATGGGTCCATAGAGGGGCAAAAGCGGTCAGTCCTGCTGGTACAGGCAATGACCTCTAGGAAACAGGTACCACTCAATCAGAATCGGATTATGCTGTCCATCTATTTCCCCACTAAGGGCTTAATATTAAGTGAGCCTAGAATACAGTTACATTAAGTTTTCCATTCAGTCAGCTGTTGAAGCCATCCTCATTTAACACCACGTAGTGGGGATAGCCCTTTGACCCTTCCTGCTATAAATCCAGGAACAAAACTGGACTGTAACACTCTGACCTTAAAACAAGCATCTCAAAAGATCTCTCAGACAGCTTGGGCCAGAAGATATCAGTAATCTCCTGAGATGCAGAAGATACTGTCCTGGGCAATCTTGGGGCAGTTGTTCCAGCAGAGCATCCTGCACTGATTTCCAGTGGGAACACATCTTGTTGATCAGGAACTGAATAAATCCTCCTTCCAACAGCTGCTTTACTTGACACTTTGACACCTTAGGTGTTGTCTCAGATAACACCCTCTCTATTTCAGCAAGCCGCTATTACTCTCAAACGTCCTTATTTGCAAAAGCAAGTTTCTGGTCTGATGCAAGGCAGGATGTAAAGTACAGCTCCCATAAGGAGATTTCAAAATTTCCAACACTACAACCCTCTGCTGCAATTCCCACAGCCTTGCTAAAACTCGAATTTAGCAAGACTCCTGTGTAACGGCTACCCAAATGCCCTCAGGTCCTCATATCAGAGCTGCTCATGAGGTTGGTCAGACAGAGCAGGACTGAGCTGAGCGGGCTTTTTAGTCAAGGTTAGAGGAACGAGCAGAAATCCATATGAAGTCTGAACAGATGCTCAACATATAGACCATGTGCATCTGGGAGAAGTTTAGGCATATGGCAGAGTTCATTGTAATACTTAACAGACAGAACCAGGAAATGTTCAAGGGAGGCAGCCAGAAAGAAATCTGCAATAGCCACGTCTCTAATGTAAACCTTTAGCAGTACTCACCAGCCCAAGTCAGATCGAGACATATATTCACAGATCAAGACCTAACAGTAGCCATGCTAGGTACTGCTAAAACATCAGTAAAAGACTGCCTGCAAGTTCCAAGGACAAGGTGAAAGCATACGGAGAACGCTACACGGAACTAAATACACCAGCAGGCATTTTAGTAGACCTTAGAAAGCCTCACACGTTTCAGGATTTTAGCGTACGCTAGGCCAGGACAGGACAAGGCACAAAGAACAGAAAGAAACTGCCATAACAGAAGAGGCTAGAATCGTTGCTAGAACTGGCCATAGACAAGATCAGACCAGGCTGGGTAACGAGAACATGTTAAAATTAGGCTTAAAGGTTAGTTCTAGTCTGTCTAGAGATTAAGTGATTATTTTAATATGTCTACTCGCCATATGCATGACATTTTTCAATGTGGTTAGCTAACGAACAGGGATCTGTCCCAGAGCAGCAGTCCTGTAGCGCTCCATTTGTGTTCCTGCAAAGGATCTTCAGCACGAGCACGAGAGGACTTGCCCCTTTGCAAATAAACATCTAATCCTTGGGCAGTGTTAATGCTTAACAGCATGGCTACTTACTGTTTCTTGGCATCTTAAAACCTGCACAAAATTTAGCAAAGACTCTTTCCAGTTAAGTTTATAAGAAAAATGCTACTTCCCTAATTGTGTCAATGTAATATTTGCTCTACAATATTTTCCAATTCATCTGTTGTATTCCATGATTAATACATTCAGAGAATTATTTTTCATCTCAGTTCTTCAGAATACTTTGCTCTTCTAAAACTAGCTCCTTGAACTTTCCTAGTTTCTCATCATTTTTTGGAGATCAGCCCTGTTGTGAAGAAAATCCTGAACTTTCCAAGAGACTGAACATGTACTTCCTTGTCATGGACAGTCAGAAAACTCAGACACTAGAGATAATTCACATAATTGATTCTTCTTTGTTACTTGGAGCAGATAAATATTCTTCCTGCTGTAACTAAATGGCTTTATTCTCTAGGGTGTCAGCAGTTTTATAAAAAACAGTCAAAGTATTTTAGAATCTATAGATACCGTATTAATTTAACATTGTCAAGCATACATGGACAGGGTAAGGCAGAAATTGGCATTGGGACACCCACACGGCCATCGAGGAACTTCTAAATAGAAACGACGGAATATGAACATGGTGGTAGAGAAACCCATTCTTTAAAGTCTGATGGCCTAATATACAATTACAGAACTTAAAAGTGTTTAGGATCTATTTTTGCAGAGAACTTTGAACTGAAAAAGTGAAGCTTCAAATTTTACCCATTTGTTATTTATAAACTAACGTTTTACTGCAGAAATTTGGGTTTGAATCTATAAACCGGCTTTGACATAGAGCAACTTAAGACTTTGATTCTAAATGCAGCAAATTAAAAAGTACTAAAGAGAATACAGAAACCAGTTCTTGTAATAACACCTTAAAAAAAGGATAACACTGCTGGGACCTTTGGTCTGAACCGATTCAATTATTAACTAAGATTTGCTTCAACAGCTGCCTGTTGCATTGAAGCTTGTTTATTATCTGTAACTCCATAATTGCTTGTATAACACAACCGAATTCAGCAACTCCAAAACAGAACAGAAGCTTAATGAACTAGATATACAAAATTAAAGAGAGTATCTAGTTCCTCAGAGCAGCACAGTTTAATTTCAACCGGGTTTAGTGTGTCTAAAATGGTTATGATCCATAGGAAAGCTTCCTTGGTTTCTTGAGAAGGCCTATGTGACAGTTGGAGTCCCAGCCCAGAGGCACGATATAGTTTTACAAACTCCAGCAGGTGAAGTCCTATTCCAGTTTTTGCTACCTACAGGTTAGAAGTTGCTGCTAACACATCACTCTGCTAAAAGAGACTGTATCTATCTTTGGAAGATCTCACCTTTCCTCCTCCTGAGGATGGACTGATCACGTGCTCCCATTCCCCAACTTACCTCAGGGACCTGGAACTCAGCTCTGATGACTTGTTTTTAAGTGTCATTTAAAACGTAGAGATATTGAACATCTCAACTCTCATTTCTCTTCCTGCAAGTACTGGTAATGTGTGTCTGAAGGCTTTTGACCCGATCACAGAGTCCTGGTTGTGGCGCTGGACTCTTGCGTTACTTACAAACACTCCCGAAAGTGGTTTGAGATTTAAAACCAAAACCATCCAGGGCTCACAGCAACTCTTTTATGTTAATATTTAAGCCCAAGTAATATCTGATGACTTGCTGTAAGAATAACTTCAAGACCTTATTTTAACAATGCCCAAAACAGATTAAAATTAATTCTGCTTGTTTAAAGTTGCCACTAACGTTTGACTTTAAATTTTAGCAGGATTGTTTTGTGTCACCATCCATGTCATACTGATAAAATAGCAGAGAAACACTTTGGTTGTGTTTTGCTTTACAGAAATATTGGGAGCACCTTAAAGCCACAAGAGAAAAAGTATTACCAGTGCTGCTTTTATCCTGAAGAAACAGGTGCAGTGACTACTTTAACTTGTGGATGAGCCAATACAACAGGATCTGCAACCCAACCCAACTTGCTCTCTCCTCACGTTATTGCTTAGCTTGTTAAAACTATCCAGATCTTTGCTGACAAAAGGAGTAACATAATTATGAAGTAGGTAAGTGCCACCTATCCACTGTTTTTTTCTTTACTCTGTCTCACCCTTTCTCTACATTAGGTAAAATGTCAATTCCAAAAATGCCCAAATACCTCCAGGAGACTCGCCTTCTTGAGTTGTTTTTGAAATAAGTCATCTTCCCATCAGAAGGAAGGATTCCTGTTCACCGTTTACTTTTGCCCACTGCCGGGGTCAACACTCGTATTAGCCACAAGATTCAGACTATAAATACTGCAAAGTAGAGGGCAGACCAAAGAGCAAGTAATGAGCTATTAAGAGAGTAGCTGAAGACAGACAAAGATATCAAGAAAAATCAAAAAAGAACGGCTCCTGCCACCATAGAGGCAAGTACCCTCCAAACATCAATTCTACTGAAAGCAAGAACGCTCTTTTCCATATCTCCTTCTCTATTTCCAAACACGATGCACGTGCGTGTCTGCCACTAATGTTAGGGTATGTGCTTCTACTCTCCAGCCTCTGCGTCACAGCACTGCAGAGAATTACCCGCCAACTAACAATGAAGTGCATCTGCTCATCACCAGAAGAAATACAAAGAAACAACATACCTTGTCCCACAAGGCACATTTTTCACTTCATCAGTCTGCAATGTAGTCTGAAATAAAAAGACAATCTGTGCTCAGAAGAGAGTTCCTTCTCCAGAAAAGTCATGCTGTACAGAGAGTCTCACAACCATTATGAAGGAACACGGAACCAAAAAAGTGCCCTGGGCCTCCCTCGTGGCTCTTGCAGGTATGTCCAGAAGGAAGACTTCTTTTCAACTTCATTTTGGGAAAATATAAGGGGAGCTGTACTTTCTTCCCTACCTCTCCTTCCTGCAGCACACTGGCCTGCAGCTCTCCCAGGAAACAGTTAAGACCACAAACACAGACTAGCCTCCCAGATCAAGACACCTCCTGTCCCAAGCAATGCATACGCACCCTTTGAGCAGGCAGAGATTCCCTCCTGGCAAGCCATGGAGTGAAACATCTGAGGATCCAACAAGTGGCGATATTTTATGTTGAGAAGCCAAAGCATCCCACGGTAGTTATCTAACACTAGGAATGCACTCTGCAGCTTTAACTGCACACTGGAAGCCCAATGCAAAGCCATTTCATTTGCAACGCACGGGGAGTGCATGCACTGTGTGTTTTAAGGAAGCCACAAGTTGTCTGGATGTTGGCTCACCCTGCTGATAACATAATCTGAGAGCAGACATCACAGGGAGAGACACAGCATAATTCACAGCCTTAGTAGCTTGCCCAGAACTGCACATCACTAGGAGGACAAGTCCCAGCATATAGCTGCGTCTGGCACCTAAGGCAGAAGGAACCCAGCACTTCCTAGGAGCTGCAGCTCTGACTACTGAATTACTGAGCCTCTCTGCAAATATCAGTTGCCCAGGTTACCTCATTCAGCAATATCCCCGCTGACATTTGCTCCCACCCACCCTCTTCCAAGATGAGGGCATACTAACCTGCACAGATTTGAACGTGGTAATAAATGGAAGCATGATGTGGTAGCCTGGTCCACTCGGACTGGTTAAAAGCGCACCACCCCTACAGAGACAGAAAAAAGGGGGAAAAGGCTCAAGCAACTGGAAAATGGAAAGTGCCGGCTTACAGAGAGAGGGGGGCAGCAAGTACATTCAAACCACCAACAGTCACAGCTGTGGTACCACAGATTACATTACTCATCCAAACCAGATCACTGCAGACTTGTAACCTAATACATCACTGTATCAAACAGCAAGCTAGTATATGCAAACTAAATTCCCCTGACCGCACAATTCCCTTACAAAAGGGCTGAATCAGTTTAAGTTACTGTACTGTTGCAACTCAACAAACGCTTGCTTCCCTCCTGTGAGAGTTGTTATTTTTTAAGAGAAGGCAAACATTACTAAATTCTTCCATCATTACAGCATTGTAGAGAGCTTCAAGAACACAGTTTTTCTTCTCTAAATAGTTCATCAGTAACCACGGAAAAATCTAGCAGTTGGTGTGATTCAGTCAATTTGGATTTCCACAAGGCATTCAGTAAGGTCCCCTAGCCAAAGCACAAAGAAAAATCAGCAGCCTCTGGAGGGTCCTTGTGCGGACTGACAGTTGGTTAGAAGACAGAAAACTGAAGAGAGCTCTCAGTGATCAGTTCTTGCAGGGCAGTAAAGATTCCTGCAGCATCCTGCACGGACCCATGCTGATCAACACATTAATAATTAAAGGAAAAAGTAGTGCAAAAGAAAGTGGCCCATGATGTTGGATGGGAAGGATAGAAAAGATAAGGCCAACGACAAAAAAAAACACAGAAAGGCTGGGACCGAGTTCTCTGTTCCTTTGTTCAAATTTGAAATAAAATCTGGTCAAGAGGTAGCATTTGGTGACTGCGGGCACTCACTGCATTCACTGACAGAAGGCAAAACTGCTCTAAAGATGCTGCTGAAGACAGCTGCAAGCCCCAAGTGAAACTGTCAGCCAGGAGTCAGTGAGAAGGCCCAGGTCAGAAGCAACAAAGAACTGGGCGCTCTAGATGATCGACAGTCTTGGGGCAAAGGTATCAACACCAAATATAAAAGGGAAAGGTCAGCAGACATGTAAGAACTGTACGGACCAAAAGCCTGCACACAGGTAAGAACACAGGCTCTTAGCTTTTAAATCCAAACTGTGACTCAGAAACATCAACTCACACAGACGTGGGAAAGGGAGCTCAGGATGCAGAGAGACCAAAACTCATAACGGTTCTCTACAGACCTAGGCTTTGTGGGCCCTTAACATCTCTGGTTTAAGATATCAGAAACAGCATCCCTGCCCATCTCGGGACAAAACCTTGATAAAGCAAACAGAAGAGAGCAACTCTCCCCACACTCTCTCTCTCTAGGGCCAGGGATGAATCCCAGCAGAGACGAGAACCTAAGAAAAACCGTGAAAGCCTTCAAAGTGCTAACAGGAAACAGTACCTGTAATACACAGCCAGGTGCCCCTCCTCAACCTTGTGAATGGAGGAGTACAGGAAGAACATAAGCACTCCCGCGGCAGCTGCAACTACTGCCCCAGCCTGGGCCATGGTCATTCTCACATCATCTGTGGGACAAACATAGTTATTGCATGGATCAGAGGACTGCCTGGTTGATAAGGCACTGTTTTAACAGTGGTATGCACGAAAACCTTCTCCATCTCTTTTCTCTGTCAGTATCTCTCCCCACTTCTCCCACGAGAAACCTTCTCATCTTTTGGATCAAAACACAGAAGATAACGCCAAAGCACCTTGCAAATCCCATTCTGCAGCGCAGGGCCACCTCCTTTCCCGTTCAAAGCTGCGTTACAACCTAAGGCTAATTATAGCGCTGCTTATATAGAACAATGACATGAAAAGATTATTTTAAGATTCATTTGATGAAGTCTCTGGTGCTGGAAAAAGGGAGCTGGCATCATTTGGCTCATCCACATGCTACAGAACTCAGGACTAATGTTGCGTACTTGGAGTGACCCATCAGCTCAGGTATCAACACTTATCTGGCAGGAGCAGTAGTACCTCCTAAGTGAGACCACAGACCGCAGGGCGTGGCCTGCGAGATGCCTCTGCCCCACAGAACAGCTCGTCATAGGTCGCAGCAGAGGCCGGTCAGGCACTTGGATGCAGAACAACACCTGCGACCCTGCAAACACACGAAGCGGTCACCTCACGTCTGGGGGACCCCAAGGTGGAAACCAGTCCGTGAAGACCTACGCGGTTCCAGACCTCGCATGAAACAGGGATGACCCAAAAGCTCCTGGCGAACCGCGTCCGTAAGCCAGGCAGCAGAGGGGTGGCGGAGCCTTCACCTTTCCCTCATCTCTGCCCAACCACTCAGCCACACCGAGGAGAGATAAGAGCCGAGGGGAGCTTCCAGCCCGCCCGGTGCCACTTTACGACACTCGCAGCCAACCCACCGGTCCTCGG